TCGCTGGTATCTCCTCTGATGCTCCAAGACTATCATTCTTACGGGCTTTTCCGGCCACCAAAGGACAGCAGGACATCCAGAATGCCATTCTCTGCCCCCGCCTGAGAGCCGTGGCCAGGAGCCTGAGCTCTGTTCCGCGCTGGTAGCATCCAGGTGGAATTTAAAATAGAATGGATGGGGACCCAGTTATGTGGAAAGTCACCTCTGGTCTTCTGTTCTATCATGGGAGTTAAGACCAGCTGGGGTGCTTCTGGTATCAGTTTCCAGTACATAAGTCTCTGTGATCTGCAGCAGAAATTCTTACAACAGGCCCTTAGAAGTCTCGTCCTCTGATGGACTGCCAGAGGCAGAGTCCAAGGCATATCTGTGCAGGCAGACTTTTTGCTGAGTTTCCCAGGGACTGAGAGAAAATGACCAGAAGGAACAGGCTCCTCTGGGTTCTACCACTAACACTCTACAAATGTCCTGAGTGGGAAACACGATTTATGGTCGGCCAGCTACTTATCTGGTTCACTTAGCCCAGATGATCAGAGATGACCACCGCACCGATTCAATCCCTCGAGAGAGCTCCTTCGAGTGAAAGAAATATGCTTGGACTCTGGTTCTCCTAAATATCCTTTTCTAGAATATAGCTCCAAACACCTTAGCCCTGCTAGAAAAACAAGTTCGAATACATGTCGTCTTTGGGGAATCAAGGATGCATCGGTAACCTGTGCCAATGTTGATTCACAGGGTGCTTTTTTAGCAGAGCTAATCACGGTACCTGGATTTATCACGAGATGTCATACCAGCTCTCATTTGTGAACAAGGAATGGCATGACCTCTGCCACAGTTTATGGATGTGGGCACCTGAAGCTGGCATCGCACAGTAGGCATCAGGTCATATCCTACTGGCCAGCTAATATTTTGCCCTCTTTCCAGATATGAAGTCAAAAATACTAAATAGAAAAGGGGGCTCCTACTTGCTGCTGAAGAAGCTAACAATTTGACATGTGTAGTTGTGTCTGTGCTTGGATCTGACCCCTTATTTACTTTATTTCTCCAGTCTCAACAAAGAGCACAAGCCTCACCAGTGATAGTAGAGATGAACCACTGTATATATATTTTTAAATATATTTTATTGATTTTTTACAGAGAGGAAGGGAGAGGGATAGAGAGTTAGAAACATCGATGAGAGAGAGACATCGATCAGCTGCCTCCTGCACACCCCCTACTGGGGATGTGCCCGAAACCAAGGTACATGCCCTTGACCAGAATCGAACCTGGGACCCTCAGTCTGCAGGCAGATGCTCTATCCACTGAGCCAAACCGGTTAGGGCGAGCCACTGTATATTAAAAGATTTTGAAAGAGCTCCTCACTTTCATGGTCCAGGATAAATACAATCTCTGTAACGTCACATTTTCTTTTGTCCTCTAAATAAAATGTCATATGACCTGACCATATTATAATATACTTTGAAGTCCAACCATTTAAAAAGGTTTCTGCAATTAAAAGAATTTATTTTCATTGAAACCCAAAAGCAAAAGTGGAACCGAAGATACAAGATGGGGGCAGGAAAATGTTAGCCTGTTCCACCTGAGAACTGGGTCCCTCTCACAGGTAGACAAACGCTTGTCAATGCCTAGACCTTACTCTTCCTAGGAGTGCAAAGCCACTAGCGAATGCAGCCCTCCCCACCCCCACTGAGAGAGAGAGAGAGAGAGAGAGAGAGAGAGAGAGAGAGAAACAGCTCTCTGTGAGCTGATGCTTACTGTGGGATGCAACGTTTCTAAGCTTCAGGTGCCTATATCTACGGGAACTCCGCTAGAGATTCAGAACTGAAGGGAAGTTTTTGATCATTTTACAGATGAGGCAACTAAGGGTCAAAATTGAAATTAATTGCCCCCCAAGACATCCCAGGGCTCTTGCCCCTGGTCCTCTCAGCTCTCAGCCCACAGAAGGTAGTCAGCAGCGGGGAGGGGGCGGAGGGAATGGAAGGGCATACATGAGACCGCCATCTGCCTGAGGGAGACCTCCTCAGGAGACCCACCCCGGCTGTGGACTCCACTACCATTTAGCTCAGTGGTATCCCTCACTTTTTAACTCACAATAGAAGCTCAATATATATTAAATGAAAATATATGCATTTGGTTTATTATCAGGAAACAGAAGACTGATGGAGATATCTTGAACTGTGATGTAAAGAACCATGGGATGCAAAAGAGCAATTTAGACCCCGAAGCCCAGTGATCAGGAATTTGATTAGGCAAAGAAAAAAAAAGAATTTGATTTAGATTATGTAGCAGTATGTTATGGTGGAAAGAATAAGACCCCTAAAGTAAGATTGTTTTTTTGACTCTATTACTTACTAGCTGGGTGACCTTGAGCAAGTTTCTTAATCTCTTCAAATTTATTTCTTTATATATAATGTGTGTGTGTGTGTGTGTGTGTGTGTGTGTGTGTGTGTGGAGAGAGAGAGAGAGAGAGAGAGAGAGAGAGAGAGAGAGAGAGAGAACGCAGAGGAGAGGAGAAGAGAGGAGAGGAGAGGAGAGAGGAGAGGAGAGGAGAGGAGAGGAGAGGAGAGGAGAGGAGAGGAGAGGAGAGGAGAGGAGAGGAGAAGAGAGGAGAGGAGAGGAGAGGAGAGGAGAGAAAACTAGAGAAGAGAGAGGATCAGAGCTAGAAAATAAGAAGGAACTCTGGGGGCACATATGAGGGTCTCAATGCATGAAAGTTCATAATGCCCTCACAAAGTAGGCACTCAAATATCTGTTCATTTAGTGAAAAGCCTACTTCTTCAGCTGCATCAGCTCCTGGAAATAAGTCTCCTTTGCTTTAGAAGTATCAGAATGTCCCAACGGCCTTAGATTATGCAAAGGAGAAACAGCACCACTCAGGCCCTGAAGTTGTGCCCTGGATTTGAAAATGGTTGGCCTAGTGTTCTTTGACTGTAGGAACAGAATCCTCTGAGTTCTCTCTAAATGCTTTATCAGAATGCCTGTCTAGACAGTGCTGGATCCCTAGAGAAATAATGAAGGCAGAATTCAAGGGACCTGCACTCCCAAACTAGATTAAGTAATCCCTCTACGTGGCTTACAGCACACTGTACTTCCCGTTATCACACTGTATTGTAAGAGCCTGTTCACTTTCTGTCTTGCCAACCAGACTGTGAACTCCGCTACAATACAGCTGTTTTATTCCCCACTTTTTAACTCATAATAGAGGCTCAATATATATTTTTTTCAATTAAAAAGAAAGCACACAAACCCAACAACTTCCTTAAAACAGCTACCACTAAAATCAGCCTAGAGCCATGGTCGGCAAACTGCGGCTCATGAGCCACATGCGGCTCTTAGGCCCCTTGAGTGTGGCTCTTCCACAAAATACCACGTGTGAGCATGCACATACAGTGCGATTGAAACTGCGTGGCCCGTGCGCAGAAGTCGGTATTTTGTGTAAGAGCCACACTCAAGGGACCAAAGAGCCGCATGTGGCTCTCGAGCCTCGGTTTGCCGACCACTGGCCTAGAGTGTTAATATTCTCTACTCTCCCAGTCCCCAGATTGCTTTCTCCCCCCTCCTCCAGGCCCCTGACAGAGCAATCACTTCTCTAGTTTCATCATTTAGGCCACTTAGATTTCTGCTCAGAATGTTCCTCATCATGTTAATGCACTCAATAAACTGTGTTCAAAACTAGGATCTCATGTACTGGGCCCAATGGCGGGGCTACAGCAGTGAATGATCCAGACGCCTCCTGGGAAGCTCACAGAATAAAATGGGCTTGGATGGAGGCTCTGAGTTTCAGAGAGGCCACTAGCCAGGCGCCAAAATATTTCTAGATCCGTAACTACACCCTATCATCAACTTGACTCTAAAAATTACAATGTGGCTAGTACATGGTGTTCACTCAATAAATATTTGTTGACTAAAGGAATGAACGGGATAGATAGGAGGGGAATTTCAGTGAGCTTTTATTGCTCTGGGCTGATATAGGAGATATGCAGCAAATTAAATCCTTTATTTGAAGACTAGTGACCCTTTGCACTGACTGGTGCACATTGAAAGGAAATTAACTAGAAGGTGGCCAACGGGGTGAGCCTGGGCCGGACTCTCCCTGGAGCCAACCTCCCGCTGTCCCTCCCTGGCCAGCTGCACCTGGAGTGGCACCATGGCTCAAACGGCATCTGTGGAGTGAGTGGAGTCCCTTCAGCAGGTGGGGTCCCGCAGCCTGGTGGAATCGTGTGGCCCCGTGAGGAAATGGGCTCCCTCCTCTCTGGTTCTGGGGTGTATTACCCAAGAACTGCCGTTGCAAGTCACCGAAACCTGGCAGCCCCTGCGTTGTCTGCCCCCTGGTGGACAGTGCATGTCATACCTACTGGCCAGACGGTCAGACGGTCTCTTAACCTTTTATATATATAGATAAAGCAAGTAAGAAGATCTTTTATTTGGGTTGGTCTGGATTTTGCCACCCACTAAGCTGTTCTGTTCACCTGAGAATTTACAAACATTTCCTAAGTCCTCTGAGGAGCAGGTGATGCCACTGCAAAACATTTCCTGTCACCCACTATGCGCGGCAGGGCTGTCCCACAGCTAAGCATGTCCTGCTTGCCTTCAGAGGTCCCCCAGAGACTGCAGAATGCTGGTTAACCAACCTTCCTAAAGGCCAGGCACCGTGACATTCTGCTTCCGGGTCCTCTTTGGCTCCAACAAGGACCTGGCTGGGTTTCATACTCTCCTTTACCAACAACCTCCAGTTATTTTGTTGTAGGCTCCTCTCCAGGGCTGGTTTGTGCCCTCGAGCGAATGGATCTTGTCTTTCTAATGTCCCACAGTCCTTCCTGTCCACATGGTAGGTGCTTAATAAGCATGTTTTTAAAATCTGTCTTCAGTTGTAGCCCTGCCCAGAGAGCCATCATGTGGAGTGGAGCAGAGGGTCAGGACACAGCTCCCCACTATTCTAGAACCCTCCAGACAGCTTTCACTCATTCTTTCTTGCCTTCCATCTTCCGACAGTGCTTTCAAGGATGGGGAATGGGAGACAACCCTGGGAAAGGAAATCGCACAACACGGGTGGACTGCGGTAGGTTAGAGGCCAGGCTGCACCCTTCCTTTGGCTAAACATGCGTGCTTGGGGAGATGACGTCGGTCCCCCTGGGAAGGCCTTTCTCCCGTCCTGTCCTCCAAAGTTTCTGGACGCATTGGGACCTCAAGCAGGGTGTTGAAAGGTCAACTTGTTTGGTACCAACTCTGACTCAAAAAGATGATTCTCCTGTGGGGAGCAGGAGAGGAGAGGAACGGGGGCAGTGAGATTTTCCAGCCGCTCCACCCAGAGGGTAATTAATCCAAAGGCAACGGGATGGGTGGAACGCAAACATCTCCCATTCCACCCCCGCCCCCGCCCGGGGCTGCTGAGACCGAAGCGCCCCACTCAGTCCTCGGGTTGCGCTCACTCCCCTCACGCAGCAGAAACCCCGCCAGGAACCAGGAAAGGTCTTGAACTCTCCGGGGTCTGCACGCGCTGCGGGAGACCTGCGGCCCGCGCCCCCCGCGGAGCCCGCTCTCCGCCAATGGGAGCCCGAGGTCTGGGGATGAGGAGTGCGGGGCGGCGGCTGGACCAATCAGGCTCCCCGCGCGCCGGGGGCGGGGGGGGGGGGGAAGAGAGGCCGGGGCCAATGGAAGCAGAGCTACATCTACAGCAGCTT